GTGGGGGGGTATGTCTGTAATGTTCTCTTTCTCCGTTGCTATGTGTCTGTAATGGGGTGGGGGGGGGAGGGGAGGGGGGGAGCCGCCAACCTCGAACTTAAAACTTACACTCACTATTTTCTTCGAAAACATACGTGAGTTCCACAAAAGAAGGAATATCAAATGTCAATTTTGCATAAAAAAAAAATTAGTCCTCATTTTAAAACTTTCTCTTTTCATCTCAAAATAAATGAAATCTTTTTGTTAATAAGTAAAAAAATTCTTTAACTATGTTTATTTATATCGAAATTTGAAAATCAAATATCTGAAATTTCATTTCGGTTAAATGAATAATCATAATGAAAACAAGAGTATGAATGTGCGTCTAGATTTAGAGGATGAAAGCAGACATTCCACACTCGCACCCTTACGTTAATGCACAGCCGATTTAGCGCGCAGACGAAATGTTGCCCAGTCGAACAAAGACTGGTGTATTTCTATATGCATTGCATAGAGAATTTCATTGTCTATTCAAACTATTAATTGGGTTTCAGTTAAATACTAGATATTGTTCGTTGTTCTTATAATTTTGGCTGCTACTTCGTTCAATAGAAAATATATTATGAACCGATCAGAATAAGGAATGCATCAATTCCAATTCTTAGAATTGGTACATCCCTAACTCTAGCACTGTCTATATTTGTGAAAATTTCAAAGAAACAGAAAGGTTCTTCAAATAAGCATAATGACATAATTTCAAAATCTAAGAAAAAGTACGAAGTACAAGTATATCTGATAAACACTTGATACTTTTATTTGAAAACTAAGAAAAGTACAAGTACGAATGCTTCCGTCGGAGTGCTGATGATGAAGAGTGAAAATGTTTCTAATGATTATGTTCGATTGATCGCTCGATTTTCTCTCTAATTCGTTGCCTTTAAGGTGGGATGTGGACGTCGCTATGGACCAATGAGAGACAGCCACAGCCGCACACCCACACTCACACCGACATTCACACCCACACCCTCATCAGCAGGTTTTATGTTTTCATCTCTAACTAAATTAAAAGTCTATGTCAAGACTTTTACTTCCTGTCTTTATCTTCTCAGTGAACGTCTCAACTCTTGAATAACATTGAATATTTGTGTAGAAAAAATTTCACATATTTTCTTAAACGTAGATAAAAGGCTAAGTGTTATATTGATCATTGTATATTGAGGGAAAAGCACTAAACTAAATAAAATAGACATTCTTAATTTTATTTTCTTTTTAGATGAAAGTTTCCAAAATTGAAATGTTTCTCATCGATCTCAATTACATGATCACATTCTCATATACATATATGTCACGACTAAAAAACAAATTAACATTCAGTATAAATACAAGTGTTTCTAACGACACACTAAAAATTTCATTCACATCAAACGAAGACATCCAACATAGTTTCATTGGACAAGCATATGATCATACAAGATCAACGAACGCTGCAAGCAGATGCCATATGTATTCGGTTCCCTATCAACTCGAAAGTTTTTCTTTTAATGATCAGTTATATACAAGCAATAATTAACAACAAAAATAGAAAGCCACATTGATCTATATTGATTATTTTTCCTCATTTCCGTTTCATAAAAACTTTCATCTACCTTATTTGTTTGATCTGTGCATCGAATACGAATCACTAGCAATAGTGACAAACAATTTTACTAATAACGCAGCACAGCTGACTTATGCTCAATTAAAGATTTCGTATATATAATCTGTTTTTTCGACCAGAAAATTTTGATCAATATTTCCCTTTATTACAATGATTGTTTTTTGTTAAAAATTCTATCAATAAAAGAAAGAAGTTCGCGAAAGTTAGATACATATTTCGATCATGATTATCCATTAAAATAAAGTTATGTCAATCAGAAAAAAAAAAAATTTTTCTAGTGTGGTATGCTTCAGCATAGAATAGATTTATCATTATATTGTTATTATTTGCAGTTATTTATTGACAGTTGAAGAAAGTAAGAGAACTAAGATATTTCTTTTCAATAATTTTTGTTTTCTTATTTTAAAGAGATCTTTTCATTTTGTTTTTGTTGATGAATTTCTTTACATTAGTAGTAATCATGGAAAATATCGAGAAAAAAGTTCTATTTTTAATATTGTTGAAGTTTCTATTTTCTGTCAATAATATGTCATAGAATGCAAGAAAGAAGACTATTGAAGTATTATAAAACTCAAGTTCAACACATATTGTTCTTTGAAAGAAAAATTACAAAGAAAAGAAGGGTGTGGGTGTGGGTGTGAGTGTGGGTGTGCGTGTGGCTGGGTGTGGATAGGAGATGAACAAAGGTCCGATACCCACACCCACACCCACACCCTCGAGTATTAAACTAGCAGGATGTGGATGTGTCTGTCAGTGTTTGGTATAGATGTTAGTGTAAATTATGGATCTTCTTCCAGTCACTTGTACTCCACATCCTCCCCCGTACTGTCTTTTAGTTAATTTTGAATGCGTTTGAAATGATTCTATTTTTAATGCTATTTAGTTTAAAAAATGTTTGCTCTTTTATATTTATTTGCTATGTTTGACTCTCTGACCGTAATGGTTCTAAATGAGCCGTTATCTAATCACAATGGTGTGGGTGTGGGTGCAATTAAAGAGAAGAATAAGACCCTCATCCACATCCACGCCCACACACTTACACCCACCTACACCCAAATATCATATTATGAAAGACATCGATTATAAAAGTTTCTTTACGTAATTATTCTATAAATATTATTGAAATATCAACAATTGAATTCTAAACTTTTCATTTGTACAATTTATGAAAATTTATCTAAAATTTCATTCATTTCATTTCAGTCTTTATTTAACATGATTGATATGAAATAAAATTATTTGAGATTAATAAAACGTTGAAAATAAACAAGCAAATTTAATAAAGAAAAAAAGTTATATCTTTGTCTTTTGTCTTTACACTTATTAAATAAGAATTATTCTGTTTGTTTTCCATTTTCAGTGAAAAAAAAACAAAAGAAGAAACGAAAGAAGTAAAAGATGATTTTGTTTTTAATATTTTAATTAAATATAAGAAAATTATTTTATTTTCAAATAAAATGATAAGATACGTTGAAAATATTATCAAATGAAATATTTTTAAATATATTTTCTTCTCTATTATGGAATGAAACGTTTATTATCACATGAAAAATTTTCATTAATATTTAATTCATCATCTCTTTCTTTAAATATTAAATATATTTATTTTAATAGAATTAATTCAATTTCTTTTGATTTTATTTATCAAGAAATTTTTTCTAATAATAATAATAATAATAAACAAAAAAATTTATTTTCCTAATCTTAAATTATTGTCTATAACTCAATGTTTATCAGCTCAATCATTAATTCAAACATTATCTTTTCCTTATTCAATATCAATTGAATAAACTTACATTAATATTTAATGAACATATCTACGAAACATTTGATTATAGAGGAAAAACTTTTATCAATCATTTCTGATCAAGATAATCAATAGATATTTTCTGAAACAAAATTATCTCTTTTATCCATTAATGTCTAATGTAGAAAAATAGAAGAATGAAGATGAATCATTGATTATCAATAGTGTTTTATTCAACATAAGAGCAGGAGACAATAGCAGTGTTTTTCTTCTAAAAATTACATGTTCATTCGATCGAAGTTGGAAATTATTTATTCAGAACAACTAACTTAGAGATAAGATATTGACTATCAAGATCCTATTGAATGAATAATATTGTGAAAGATCTAGGATAAACAAATATTTGATGATGATATCAGCTATATTTATCATAAAATCGTCTGAATAAAACAAGAATTAATCATCATAGAATGTTCTTTTTGTTTTACTTGTCCCTGTTCTACCTCTAGTTTAGTGTATAAACACTAAATGATTAATTAATAATTTGCTCAATAACTGTTAACTGTTGTGTTACTATTGAAAAAATAGATTTTAATCAATAATAATGTTATAAAAATTATAAGAGAAAATCTTGACTATTTTTACAATTATTTCAATTTGATTAAAAATATTGATTGATTTATTCTTCTTGAGAATTAATAAATATATGAATATGTTTAGAGAGAGAAAAAAGTTTCAATTGATAAACTCATTAATAGAATAAAAGAAATGTTAACACTAATCAAGGAAGAAACAGCAAAGAGTTCACTGTTGAAGTTTCATGAAGTACCTTGAAGTTAAATGAAGTCTTTGAAACATCTTGAAATCATAGAAGTCTGTTAAAGCCTTTGGAAATCTTTTAAAATCAAATGAAGTCTTCTGAAGTTATCTAATGTCTTTTGAAGTCTTAAAGTCCGCTGTTTCCGCCTCTACTAAGTTGATATAAAATATATTCTTTCTCTCTCTCTCTTTTGATACGCATTTGAAATATATGATGTATGCCAACAGTTCTTTATTTAACAATAAATTCCTAACAAAAAATCAAAAATGATCTTGACATGAACATTGTCCGTTTTTATAAAAATGATGAATGCGATTAGCATCACGAACAATAATTTCACGTTGTCGAATTCTTGCTATTCGTTTTGTAGCTTCATCTGAAATAAAACAAAAAAAAAGGATACATGCATTGTTAAGAACAATCGAGATTAAAAAAATCTAACTTACGACAATCACCACAAACACGAAGATTTTTTGTGATTTGAATAAATTCTGGAATTGGTCGTTGAATGAAATTAAAGGCTATTGCTAATCTTTCACTATGACCACATAAAACTGATTCAATAGTTTCTTCTTCGTGTAATTCACGAGTTACCCAAGAAGAATCACACTTGTAACCATCTTCAATCAGTTCAGATGTTATAAGATCAGCTTCAACATGAATTTCTGATGATCGAGGATGAGAATGATCATGAGCTTTGAATGTCTAGAAAAAACAAACAAATTTTCTTCATCTTTTAATAATTAATAGAAATACTTTACCACTATTTCACCACTACCATCAGTCCATGATAATCCTATTTTGACTTTTGTTCCTAATTCTTTTATTTGATTGGATCGAAAGTTTTTTGCTAATTGATGTTCACCAACAGATGAATATATGTTCGATAGAAGAACTGCACCTGATAGAAGACGTTGTTTTTGATCAGGAAACAAACATTTCATTCGATTATATATCTTTTCAGATAAATTTCTATTGCGATTATTACGTGCACCAGATAATAAACACACTAAGATGAAAACAATAAATAAATAAACAATACATCAATATAATATTATGAAAAATAGCACTTACTATACATAACAAAATTTGGTGGATTTGTCTTTTCATATTCATCTATCAACTTTTCTGCTTCATCAAATAGAAACAAACGACTTAAACAATCAGTCTTAAATATAATAGAAAATAATCATAGCTAATATAATAAATAAAATAGGAAAAACAAACCATAACAGTTACGATTTTTTCTGTTTTCAAAGAAATTTCATTGAAAATACTCCGAGCTTGATGAAGAAGACCCGAATGAGAACATGCATTTAATATACAAATATGTGAAACTTCATCATGTAGATTATTCGGCATCTGTCTATATAATTCAATAGCTTCAGAACCCATTCCATTAAGTCCAAATCCATTAACTTCAAAAATAAATTATCCAATATTTAAAATAAACAAGGAATAAAAGTAGATATAGTTACTCATTGCATTGAATGTCACATTATCACGATCATAAACTGATTTAAATACATTTTGTGCCTTTTCAATAGAACCACATTTACTCTATATGATAAAAAGGAATAAATAATAAATAAAATAAACTAATCGATCAAAAATCAACAATCATACTTACCCACATGTGAATCAATGAATTTTGTATTTGTTTTTGATTTTGAATATGCAAAGGAATTTGATCAATAATATACTGAGATCGTCGAATCATACCAATTTTTGAACATGCACCAATAAGTATATTCCATATGATCTCATTTAGAACGATATCTTTTTGTTTCATTTCGTCCAAAATTTTAAAGCATTTCCATGGTTCATCATTCATATTGTAACCATTCATTAAAGCACCATAAGTAATAATACCTTTGTTTCTTACTAGTTTAACAATACGTTCAGCACTTTCAGCTTCACCAAATTTCATTAACATATGTGTTGCCGAAGTTAATACAACACTATCATTTTGATAATCATTAGGCATATCATCAAGAAGTTTTCTTCCAATTTTCATTGCTCGATCATTGGCAAGTTGAGCACATGCATTAAAAACAATAACAAAAGTTGCATTATCGAATTTTAAATCCATCTGCTCAAATAAATCCAAGGCTTTTTCAGACATTACATTTCCAACATATCCTAAATTAAATCAGACAATATTCGAAAAACTATCTAATATATATTACCTTTCATCATAGCACCATAGGTAATAATATCTTTCTTCTTCATTGAATCAAAAATATGTTCAGCATTTTGAACGTCACCAAATTTCATAAACATATGTATTGCTGAATTTAATAAAACAATATCATTTCGATAATTATGAGGCATATTATCAACAAGTTTTCTTCCAATTTTTATTGCTCGATCATTGGCAAGTTGAGTACAAGCATTAAGAACAATACTATAAGTTATATGATTTAAATTTAAATGGATATGCTCAAATAAATCCAAGACTTTTTCACACATGTCATTTTCGAAATATCCTAAATTAAATTTGACGATATTCGAAAAATTATCTAATATATATTACCTTTCATCATAGCATTATAAGTAATTATATCTTTCTTCTTCATTGAATCAAAAATATGTTCAACACTTTGAACATCACCAAATTTCATTAACATATGTGTTGCCGAAGTTAATACAACACTATCATTTTGATAATCATTAGGCATATCATCAAGAAGTTTTCTTCCAATTTTCATTGCTCGATCATTAGCAAGTTGAGCACAAGCATTAAAAATAATAATAAAAGTTACATTATCTAATTTTAAATGCATCTGCTCAAATAAATCCAAGACTTTTTCAGACATTACACTTCCAACATATCCTAAATTAAATCAGACAATATTCGAAAAACTATCTAATATATGTATATTACCTTTCATCATAGCATTATAAGTAATTATATCTTTTTTCTTCATTGAATCAAAAATATGCTCAGCATTTTGAACATCACCAAATTTCATAAACATATGTATTGCTGAATTTAATAAGACAATATCATTTCGATAATAATGAGGCATTTCATCAAATAATTTTCTTCCAATCTTCACCGCTCGATCATTGGCAACTTCAGCACATGCATTAAATAAAACTGTGAGATTAAAATTATCAGGTTTAAATGTCATTTCATCTAATAAATCCAATACTTTCTCTGACATGTTATTAGAGATTAAACCTAATGATAACAAATATTTAATAACAAAAAAAAACATGATAAAGAATATTAACCTTTGAACATAGCTGTATAGATATAACTGGATTTGTTTGTTACTGTAGAGAATAGACGAGTTGCACTATCCATATCATGACATTGCACTAAGAATACAACAAAAAAAAAACATAATCAATATAGGTATGTACGGAATGTTATTGAACATTTACTAAAGGGTAGGACTTTATTGAATGTTTAGCGTAAATAATTAGAAGTCATTTTATTCACTCATTTCTATCGTTATTTTTGTATTTGTCTCATGAAGGTCAAATCAATTTTTGAAGAATCTGGTTTAAGACCTCCAATAACTGTTGACATACTTTTATTGACTGAATCTTAATATTTTGATAAAAGAATATTATCTTTGTGTAGAAGAAAAAACAGTGAGCTTATCGAATTGATCTGAAAGATTGAAGTTTTCTTATTTGCATAAATAAAATCTATAATTATGCAAATCTTATTCTATGCAGAAAAGATAAAAAATTAAAAAAAAAAAAGAATTTTATCGGTAAAAATAAACGTGTTCTCATTCATCGAAGTATTCATAGATTTATATTATTTTATAATCATATTCTGATTGATAAAATGAATGACTTGCTGTAGAATCGAATTAATGATGTTTGAATATAAGAACTATTGAGTGAATTTGATGAAAGTTTTTGTTGAATATTAACACCACGATTATAATCATTAATTATAGTACATGCTTTGATTGCCATATTAATACTATAATCTGTACATAATTCAAATTTTGAATCGAAAACATCGAGAGCTTCTTTATATTTTTTAGCATCAATAAGTTGCTTCATTGTTGAATTTAATTTTACCGATGATGAAATTAAATATTTTTCCTTATTTTTTTTATATATCGATAAAAAACGTTGAAATCGATATATTGCAGACGAATTATTTTTCACTAAGAACATGTTTTATATCTAGAATAATAAAAGTAATATGGAAATACGTCCGTTTTCAAAAACAATTTAAAAAAAGTAATTGTAAAAAAAATCTATTCTTCTGAAATTGATCATTGAAAAATGAAGGTTACTGAAGTTATAACTTCGCTAACAAATGTTATCGATGTTTTAACTTCGACATGAAAATTTGTTGAAGTTATTCTATATCAACTAAGAAATTAAAAATTGATTCATTGGCAATGATATTCTGAAAATATATGATTCAAATTAAAGTTACAACGGAATAAATATTTTTTTTTTGTTATATTTCAAACTAATATGAAAATGAACAAAAACCGAAAACTTAGAGGTACGTTTGTTTGTATAAAAATGTTTTGCATTTTTTTTTCACTTTTATATAACGATTAATTCAACATTAAATTAATTTGTGACATTGCTATATCAAATTCCAACACAAATGATTTAATGTTCTTTCTCAAGTTCATGTTTTAGTGATGTTTATTGATGCAAAAATTTCACAATTAAAAACAATTTTTTATTCAACTGTTGACAAAAAAAAAATTCTAAGGCAAAGAGAAAATGATCTGATAAATTATTTTTAAATTTAAAAATTTTACTGTTCAAATAGTTTTTGTCCCTATTTGAAAATACGAGAAATTGTTCTTGAAATTGTGTGTATCTATTTTAAATTATCTATTCACAAATAATTCAGAAATCACATTTAATTAAGAGACTTTTATTTTCAAATAAATTTACGATTTTCTCAATATAGAAAATGTAACCGGAAAATCTATCATTTTTTCAACATAAATAAAGATATTGATAAACAGAGATGTCTTATAGATCACAAACTTCAGAGCAAATAGAATTCATTTTGTATTGATTCAATTCTTTTTTCTGCACAAAATATTAAAATGAACCACTTGATTATTATCTAATAATCTTCTTATATTAGATGCATAATTTTAATTTTAATTTTTTGATCTATTTTTCCATTTTCATATTATTTTGAAGAAAAGAGAGATATTTTTCGTTTGTAACTTTAATTTGAATAATATCTTTGCATAATATCATTGTCAGTGAAATCATTTTTACATGTTTATTTAACATAGAATAACTTTGGCACAACATCCTTGAGATTGAGATGAATCTACATATATTTTTGAGTTATATACCTGAAATAGCCATTGAACTAAGTTGTGCACCTCTCTCTCCTATATGGATAAAACATCCATAAGAGGTCGCTAGTTATTAATATTATATGTTACTGTATCACGAGAGAACCTTGATTATAAAATAAGTTGCATGTTTCGATAGAAAGTCATACAAAAATATGTAAACATTTATACATCAAACTTAAAGCTTCTATCACGTTTTTGAAGAAAAAATAGCGAATATATTACATTTCGAACATAAGATTATCAGCACATAAAATTTCAAGAATATGACATGCAGCATATATTTAACATTGAGATCCACATTTAATCAAACAATAAACCAAGTATAATTTCATCATTGTTTTCTATGAAATAGTATCTCATTTAAAAAAAGCAAAATATACTATTTCTATTTGGGTCTCTCTAAACATGTTAGAGATATAGCTGATGTGTGTGTGTGTCTTCACGCACGATCTTTATTCTCTATATATAAATGAACTGAAACATATGTATATATACTGAATACAGAAAAGAAAGGAAAGAAAAACTAGATATCAATGAGAAAGAAATATATAAATGACAATAGATGTAGGTCAATAGGTAAACTGTAAACAGGCGACATCCCCTGTAACAAAAGACAATAAAAACTCATCTTGATTTTTTATATTCCACAATTTCTATTTATATTTTAAATAACGACGTAGATGATTTATTTCAATAATAATTTTTATTTGATATTTATATTTTTGTTTATAACTGTTTTTTTTTAAAGAAAAAATAAAAAAATTAAATTTGTTGTAATAATTGAATAAAAAAACTTGGTATCTATATTCGAATAAAATACAAATGAAAAATTTTTTATTTGAATTTGTCTATTAAAATTTTCTAATGAGAAAATGTCAAGGGGGAAAGTGCAGGCACCCAGCACCCAGCACCTAGCACCCAGCACCCAGCACCTGCTCAGCACGTATACCGCATTCCACAGTGAGCATCTACGGTACCTACGGCACTTTCAGCATCTTCAACAACTATTCTATTGTCTTAAGTACTTAAGATAATGAAACAATGTTTGCAGGTGCTGAAGGTGCCGTAGGTGCTCATAGTGAAATGCAGTATAGGTGCTGAACAGGTGCTGTAGGTGCTGGCAGGTGCTGTAGGTGCTGTAGGTGCTGGTAGGTGCCGGTAGGTACTGGTAGGTACTGGTAGGTACTGGTAGGTACTGGTACACTCTAAAAAAAAAAGGTTTCCTCGGAAACCGATACCCCTTCGG